TTGGTGCAACCCCTGAGAAAGGAACCTCATAAGAATGGCGATAGGGCTTCAAGAATGATGTGCGTGCTAAGTTGCTTCCATCGAGTCTGACTCGTTGTGACCCTGTGGACTGCAGCCCACCAGGCTCCTCTCTCCAGGCAAGAATACTGGAGTGGGTTGCCATTCCCTCCTCCAGGGAATCTTCCCAACCCAGGGATTGAACCCGCGTCTCCTGCACTGCAGGCAGATTCTTCACCGCTGGGCCACCTGGAAAGCCCTGATATTTAAATGAGCCCTGATATTTAAAGTCTTCATATTTAAATGAGGCTACACAGGCAGTGGGTGCAGAGCTGTGGGGAGAAACCACTTCTATCACTGCTGGGAAGCTCTGGGACCTTTAGCAACTTAGACACAGGAGCTCAGTTTCCCAAGGTAAAATGCGATAACGGTGGTGCTGCTGGGGGCGTCAGTACTCATCTGCCGACTGGTCCAGAGAGGCCCGGGGAATGCCGTCAGCTCAGCAGGGGCTATGGGTGTGGCAGGCGGGGAAGATCTCGCCGCCTGGTTTCCAACAACAGGATCGGCCTGGGTGAGGAGCAGGACTACTTGTAGCCACCTTGTGCTCTTCAGCTGTTTGCCACCCCTTCTGTAACCTGGGTGGAGGAAGCAATGGCAACCCACTCCAGTGCTCTTGCCTGGAGAGAGGAGCCTGGTGGGCTGCAGTCTATGGGGTCGCACAGAGTCGGACACCACTGAAGCGACTTAGCCTCAGCAGCAGCAGCAGCTCTAACTGGGGGAGTGGTCTCTTGAGAATTATACATCAGGGGTGTTTTCATTTTGGGGCCAAAGCAGAAGTGTTGGCACATGAGCCCTCTCTCTGTGGTGGGTAGATTATGCCAGGTGACCGGAGCAGGTGCAGGGGTGGGAGGCTGTGGCGGGGAGAGGGGAGAGCCGGTTGTCCCCAAGACTAGGAAGGGAGCAGAGAGGGCTGGGGAAGAGAGCGGGCAAAAACCACGCAGCGTGTCGGGCGAGGTCCAGGCCCAGCCTGGCTGGAGACTTGAGACTTTCTCTGCACCACAGCATCCAAGCCACAGCATTCAGGTGACCTTGTGAGCTCGGAAAACCAGGATAATGCAGGCGACGGGAGACCCTCACCCTAGTTTTCTGGGCCCCCAGATTCTGTTCTGACTTAACAGAAGACTGAGATTTCCTCCTTCCTGGTGGGACAGAGGCTCGGAGGAGCCAGATTTGACGAGTGTGGTTTCCCCAGCACGGGGAACGCCGCAGTCCTGGCCGAGAAAGCCAGCCTCCCCTGCTGTCTGCAGAGCGGAGAGTCTCACTTAGACTTGCTGAGGCCACCTGAGCAACTTGGACCCCAAACCGACATGATGGGGCTGGACCTGCAGTCTCTGAATTGATGCTTTACCCACTGAGTCGTTGATTTCATTCGGACTGTCTGGAGTGGAGATGAGGCCGAATGGTTCACCTGCTACTCTCTCCGGAGCCCCCGCCCCATGTTGCCCTGCACTGTCCAGGCTCGGAGTCTCCCTAGGACATCCTGCACTAGTTTTTTTAATTAAAATTTTTATTGAAGTATAATTTATATATTGCAGTATAGTTGCAATATGGTGCAGCCCTTTGGAGTCACTTCTCCCCACAACCCCAGCCTCTGGCAACAACTGACCTATTCCTCTTCTATAATCTTGTCTTTTTCAAAATGTTATATAAATAGAATCATACACTCTGCAGCCTTGTGAGTCTCCTCCATCTTGCTGTATCTAAAGCTCTGGATTCGTGTCTGAGCTATCTTTGTTTTTGCCTATAAATGTGTGGAGATGTGAGTTTGATCCCTGTGTTGGAAAGGACCCTTGGAGAAGGACATGGCAACCCACTCCAGCATTCTTGCCTGGAGAATCCCCAAGGACAGAGGAACCTGGTGGGATACAGTCCGTGGGGTCACAAAGAGTTGGACGACTGAGTGTGTGTGTGCACACACACAAGCGCAAAGTGCCTAACACAAAGGAGGCGTTCCCATACCCATGTTCATGACACTCGTAGTGAGTCAACAGTCCTTTCAGGAGCCTGACTCTATTAACAAACTTCCAGGTGGGCTGGGTCCTCCCAGAGGCTTGGTGGTGATTTTTTAACCAGAATTTCCCTAACTTGCCTGGTCACAAGAATCTCTTGTCTCCTGGGTGTGTAATAAAAATACAGGTTTCCAGAACTCCCTCTGGTACAGTCCGATTTCACAGGTGAAAAGAAACCTGGGGAATCTGTATCAGTGCTTCTCAAATTATGCTCATGTCAGAACCACCTCAGCCATAGATGACTCAGTCCCACCCCAGAGCTGGTTTTTCAGTGGGTCTGGAGTGAGGTCCAGGAACCTACACTTCCAGCAGGCGCCCAGGTGATGGTGATGTCGTGCTCTGGAACTCCACATTGAGAACCAGTGATCCACGGCTCTGCACTATTATCAAGGGTCTTGGGTGATTCTTGTTTGCATGCGCACATGAATCCCAGCTTCAGTGCAATTGACGGGAAGGGAGTATGCTATGTGGGACTTCTTCGTCCCAAACATTGCACTCTGGCTACAGCCTCAATCCCGTTTCACCTGGGACACCTTCTTCAGCCTATGTTGACTCAGAAGCAGAGATCTCTGAGGTTTGTTTGATTGGATCATTCTCCCCTAGGCAAGGGGCTCCTGCTGAGGATTCCAAAGGAAGTTGTGTGCAAAACCAGTCCCAGTTCTTTCCAGATCTCCACACAGGCTTGAGCAATGTTGATGTGGAAACTGTACCTAAGGATGTGTATGTGACCTCAGGGGAAAACCAATGCGATTAAGGCTGGATTTGGACTCCAAGGGACAGTTCCTGGGGATGCTGAGGATTAGCAGTAACAGCTGTTGTCCTGTCCATTCGAGGAGAAACTGAAGGGAGAAGAATGAACTTGTTTAAAAGATGTGTCTGTGCAGCTCTGGGAGGGGAAACTGTTCCATCAAGCCTCAGGAAAAATGTGTTCCTAGGTAAGTGGCTATTTTTCTGGTTCAGATAGACAAGGTGCTGATGGGAAAGACATTTTAAGATCAAAGGAGGAGAAGGATGAAATGTATGGTTTTGGGCCTGATCTGTGTGGTACTCACCCTGCCTCCTCCAAAGACATCTGTGTTTGGTCTGCCTCTGTCGGGAGGAGACCGCCTTCTACCAGCAACAGAGTCTCCGAGGGTGTGGTCTATGTAAAGGCTTGCTGTCCTTCAGAAGGGCCCCGAGTCCCCTCAGCTGAGAATATACTTTTTACAGCTCCTTGTTCATCATCTTCTAATGTGTCTGGAAATCTGCAGGAGCGGCCCTTGGTGGTGCAGGGATTTTGACTCTTACTTTCTTATGGAGAACAAACCTAGCAGAGAAAGGCATTGTCTTAAGGACTCAGGACAGTTCTAAGAAAGTCACCTTCTATATAGACGATACCCTGCACCCCCTGTGTCTGGTCAGTGTAAAGGATGGTGACGTTGATGGTTTAAAGAAAGGATGGTAGTAGATGACACTTGATGATTTGGTTGTTTGGATTACCTCCTTAGTCTACTGATTTCATAGCTAATTCCACTAAATGTTTACATTTTATTTTTACCTTTTAAAGCCAGCCTATTAAAGAGAAGAACTGTTGTTGCTTCGCATTGTTCCTTAGATCACAGTATTGAAAGAACTTTTATGTGCATAGAACTATAAAAACAAGCAGCTATTTTTTTAAAAAATGCCTGCTAGCCCCAAATCTTTATTCAGAGAGCTTTTCATCTGTCTTACTTGCTATTTCTCACTTTATTTTCATCTGTGAACTTCTTTAACAGTCAACTTTTAATTCTTTCTATTGATGGGCATTCATGGTATAAACAGAAATATTTACTCTATAAGTGTTATTTTTACCCAGATATTTTATTCTACTCCTGAGCTAGTTTGTGTGTTTGTGTGTGTGTGTGTGTGTGTGTGTGTATGTGTGTGTTTTCTCACTATACTTAGCAAGGCATAAAATGGATGGGCTTGGGTATAACTTTTTTTGCTCATCTTTGTGAAAGAGGAGTGAAATATCTAAAACTTGTCAATAGGAGAAAAGACAGGAGCTATCAAAGCATTGCAAATTTAACAGTCTCCCTAAATAATTGATAGTTGGCAGTAGATTTGTAGCATTTAACTCTGTAATTTGCAATTAGAGACATAAGATGCTAAACCAAGCCACCATATGCCAGGCTGCCTGCCCATATTGGAACATCGGGTGTCTCACTTCAGCTGTAATATATTACAGCTCACATTGTCCTTGGATATCAGGCAGTTTGTAAGGAGTTCACGTTAGGATTCAAACATTTTCTGGTCTTATTTCTTTGATGTAATTAGCATAGCCTCTCTTTAAAAAGAGGCATTCTTACCAAAAAAGTTACAAGAAGAGAGTTTAAAAAAGAGGGTTTAGAAATGAAGCACTTCCTATAGTCTGGCACATCTTTTTTTCTTTTTTCTTGCAGTTTCCTTTTTTCACATTTAAACTTCAATTTAGTTGATTTTTTTTTAGTTAACAAGTTGCTCTAACTATATTTATTGGTCATTTCCACATTGATTTTTTTAAATGCTATTTTAAACAGCTATTCTTTTTTTTGAAAAATGAAGTATAATTGATTTACAGTGTTGTGTTAGTTTTGGGTATACAGCAGAGTGATTCAGATTTATCGACCTATATGTACGATATATGTATTCTCATTCAGATTATTTTCCCTTATAGGTTATTACAAAATGTTGAGTATAATTCCCTGTGCTATTGCAGTAGGTCCTTCTTGGTCATCTATTTTCTGTATAGTAATGTGGCGCATCTTTTTTTGATCTTGAGCACTTGCAATCTGGGAATGGGGCACCAAAGGGATTTCAGGGATAAAGGCAGTGTGGGATAGAGTCAGGTCAGGCACCTTCAGAAAGACATCACCTGCTTTTCCTAATAGCACCCGGATTGAAGCTGCTGTTCCGCGGGACGCAGGAGAGGGCAGGATGGGGGTGCCCGCCGCCCTCACGGGCTGGGCCTGTGCCGCCCTCTGCCTGGTGCCCAGCTCCTCCGCCTTCTCCCACGGGGCTGGCGCGGTGGCCTGTGCGGACATGCGGCCCAAGCACATCCCAGCCCGGACTCAGAGCCCCGGGACCCACCACATCACCGTCCTCACGGGCAGCTCTTCCTTCTCACCGGGTGCCACGGTCTCAGGTATGCATGGGAGAGGCTTCGAGACATCCCCCGACCCCCACCAGGAGCCTCCAGGCCCAGGGACAAATTCCAGGTTGTGTTTGTCCCAGGGAGGGGTTTCCCGGGCTATAGTTTGGTTTGATCCTAAGAAGAAATTTTGTACCCCAGAATGCATGAAATATTTATGGTCTTTTTTTTTTTTAGTTTATTTTTTTTTTACTGAAGTATGGTTGATTTACAACGTGATATTAATTTATGCCGTACAGTAAAGTGACTCAGTTCTATGAGAATACACATTCTCTTTAACATTCTTTTCCATTATGGTTTATCTCAGGCTACTGAATACAGTCCCCTGCGCTATACAGTAGGACCTTGTTGTTTATCCATTCTGCGCATAATATTTTGCATCTGCTAACCCCACACTCCCAGCCCAGCCCTCCCCTACCCGCCCCCGCTTGGCGACCACAAGTCTGATCTCTATGTCTGTGAGTCTGTTTGAGTTTCATTTGTGCCCTCTTTTAGATTCTGCATGTAAGTGATATCATATGGCATTTGTCTTTCTCCTTCTGACTTACTGCTGGAGAAGGGATAGGCTACCCACTTTGATATTGTTCGGCTTCCCTTGTGGCTCAGCTGGTAAAGAATCCGCCTGCAATGTGGGAGACCTGGGTTTGATCCCTGGGTTGGGGAGATCCCCTGGAGAAGGGAAAGGCTACTCACTCCAGTATTCTGGCCTGGAGAATTCCATGGACTGTATAGATCATGGGGTCGCCAAGAGTCGGACAGGACTGAGCGACTTTCACTTTCACTTATTCAGTATGATGGTCTCTAGCTGCAGCCATAAATCATGATGTACTTGCATCGTTAAAATCATATAACTAATCTTATATTGATATTAATCTTTATAGTAGAAGAGGGTACAAATGGCCTTATAAAAGTTTTTTTGTTTTTATTGTAAGATATAAATATAGTTACCCTGAACAAATGCCCCATATCAAATATGTGTGAGAAATAGACTTTTTTCCTCCTTATTTAAAACTAAAGTTATTTGAGGGGTGAAAAGAGCATTTCCTGCTATTTTAGTTCAGATGCCTAGAAAAGCAGAGTGAGAACTTGTGTGCAGGTGGTTTATTTGGGAAATGACCCAAGAAGCATTGATGAAAAAGAGGGAATAGGGTGATAGGGAAGAAAGAAACACTAATACGGGGTGTGAAATAGAGTGGGTTCCTGCTCCGGGAAACACCCTGGGATCCAACTCCAGTGATGGCCCTTTGAGAAACCACAAGATACACAGTTCTGAACCATCCCTCAGGAGGATGGAGGAGGCGTAGTCGGTGATTGAGGATCGTCTCCCGGGGTACCCTTTCCACCATCCACCCCATCCCCTCCCAACGCACAGACACATACTTCAGAGTCACCTCTGCCTACCTTGGGCCAAGCTCCCAAGGAACCAGCTGGAAGAAAGCAGCAAAGAAAGTCACTGATGTTGAAGCTGGTAGCTCAATGTAGACAGGACACTATCTATTTCACTACAGGGAACTCAAGCTCCGTGCTGTTGGCTCCGCTCTCTTCTGACGGATGCTACCTCTTTAGATGGGAATTAGAGGTGATAAATGGAAATAAAATAGATTCTCTCTCTATGGTTTTGTCCAATCACGTTGTTCTATTGGTTGGTGTGGGGATTAAAAAAAAAAACACATAAAATATTATCAAGGCCCTCCCTCAAAGAGTTGCATGGTTTACAGTCCTAGCGCTTCTGAATGAGTGTCCTGGTTTTTCTGTTGTGCTATCAATACTGGTTATACTTACACATTTTGAAATTTGTTAATAAGATAGATATAAAGTCGTGTCTCATTTATAGTTGTTTTAACCATTGTGATTGAGCCTGTTTTATTTTCTGTCTCTGGTGGCAATTTTCAGTTTGGTCATCTTTTTGTTAATTCACTATAACTCTTTGTATATTTGCCTGTTGTATCTTGCAGATATCTTTCTCAGTTTATCCCTTGGGTTCTGATTTCTTCTATGTTGAGAATTTTAAGAAATCATTTTTTTTTTCCCATTATGGCTACTGAGGTTTGCTTAGAGAGACACTTCTAACTCCAATATTAAAAACAAAACAGCAAAAAGCCAAACCATTGTTTCTAGTTCTTTTGTATTTCATTTTTACACGTCTTTGTTCCAAACAGAATTTATTTGGGGTGTGAAATAGCACTTCAACCTTTTTCTCCCCCCTAATGAATTGTTTACTTTCTGGGGACTGGACCGGTCCTAAGCTTTTTGTTTTGAAAAATACTCATATAAAGTCACCCAGTGCTGCTCCTTCCAGGATGTTGACCTTGATGGACATTTTCTGTTGCAGTGGCCGTGAGGAGCAGTCGTGATTTCATGGGCTTTCTACTCCAGGCGCGACGAGTGTCTGATCATCAGATAGCTGGCACTTTCATCTTCATTCCTCCTCATTCCAAACTGATAACTTGCTTTGAAGAGGCTGACACAGTCACCCACACAGACAAGTCCCGGAAGAGAAACCTGGCGTTCGAGTGGCGGGCCCCTGCCCAGCCCGTGGGGAACATCAGGTTCTTGTAAGAGAGTTAAGTTCTGGGTCTTGGTAACTGAACTTCTACTATGAAGGGAGGGGACTTCTCTACACACTTCCTTGGTTCCCCCCCCCGCCCCCCCTCCACCTTATAATAAGGACAGGGTCACTGGGACTGCCCTTCCTGGAAAGTCTAGATAGGTGATGAGTTTATTTAAATTGCCCCCAACTCCATTCTGTGTGATTATCCATGGTCTAGGAGTGTGTGATGTCCCTTGTCCCTGGGCGCAGATGCACCTTAGCCAGTCTCTCCAGAAAATTCTCAGTAGGGGACAAAAGAGCTGCAGGTGGCAGAGTCCAGAGAGAACCCAGAGGCAGAAGCAGGCAGACATTGGTACTTGCCGGGCCCGGGGAGAACTGCTGACAGCTCTGTGCCTCAGCTTCTTGTCCATCACGTGGGTGTGATCATAACGCCCGCCTCGTGGGGTTGTGTAAGGTCGAAGAGCCAGTGTGTGCCAAGTGCGTGAACCAGTTCCTGGCAACCATCAGCTTTATACAAACAGCATCATTCCTCAAAGTGAGATACTGGTGTTGTCCTTCTTTTCAAACATTCACATGTACCAAGAAAGTGAATTTTTTTATTTGGCTTGGTTTTTAGGAGAGGGTTTGTGGCTCCGTGGTAAAGAATCGCTGCCAATACAGGAGACACAGGTTCGATCCTTGGGTTGGGAAGATTCCTTGGAGGAGGAAATGGTGACCCACTCCAGTATTATTGCCAAGAAGATCCGTTGGACAGAGGAGCCTGACGGGCTGCAGTCCGTGGGGTCACAAAGGGTCGGGCACGACAGAGCCCACACAGGTGGTGGTGGTCGTCGTCCCCCTTAGTTTCCTTCCCCGCACCCTCGTGTACAGAAGAGGAGAATGTGCCGGAGGGTGGGGGCATCCAGACCCCAGGCTTCCCCTGTGGGCTGTCCCCTCGGTACCAGGGAATGTGAGCGATGAGGTGTGTGGCCCCCACCCATCAGGGCCCCTTTTCCATCCCTTCCTGGTGCCCTAACACAGTGGGCAGGACCCGTGCCCTGATGACTGATGATCTGGAAAGGCCAGAACCCACCTGACTTTTGGTGTAACTGGCCCCTGCCAGGTCTTTGGTTCCAGTGCAAGGTGGTGTATGAAACCCTTGGGTCTGTACAATTACTTTTATTTCTCAAAGCCCTTCCACTTCTAGTTTTTTAAATGTTTTTGCTTTTCATGTACTACTTATTTTTTTAATTAATTTTTATTGGAGTGTAGTTGCTTTACAATGTTGTGTTATTTTCTGCTGTATAACAAACGGAATCAGCTATATGCATACATATATCCCCTCTTTTTTGGATTTTCTCCCCATTTAGGTGACCACAGAGCATGGAATAGAGTTCCCTGAGCTGTGCAGGAGGTTCTCATTAGTTACCTGTTTTATACACAGTATAAATAGTGTATACGGGTCAATCCCCATCTTCCTCTATTTTTAGACTTACCATAGTAGCTTCTCTGTGCAGCAGTGGAAGTAGATCAGAAGCCACGATCCCCATTGACAGGAACAGGAGCTGCATCACTTATCAGATGCATCTCTGGGGCCCCCACATGATGTCACCCTAGGATCCTTCCCCACCCTCACATCGACGTGTTGATGACACTTTTACCTGCCCACTCTCTGGGTGACTTCAGCTAAATTCATCATATTTGTATAACTGTCTTCTGAATACTTACAGTGAGAAAAATGGTACTTGCCCGTAATCCCTGCTTTGGTGAAATTTGGGGAAGCATGAATAAGATCAAGTCAGTACAGATGATTTTTACTGAAGAGAGGCACTATGTATTCAAAATATTATTTAGACTATGAATGACTTACCTCTCATTTTCAATAGCATTTACAACTCCAATAGGATTATATCATTGTACAGCAGAATTATAAAATTTTCAGTGAATAGTGTAATTCAATTCACAACACACCAATAATGGGGAATGAGCACAGTTGAAGATGAAACCTTTGGAGTGGACAGTTCTCAGTCAGTTCGGTTCAGTCACTCAGTCGTGTCCAACTCTTTGCGACTCCATGGACTGCACCATGCCAGGCTTCCCTGTCCATCATCAATTCCCAGAGCTTACTCAAACTCATGGCCACCGAGTTGGTGATGCCATCCAACCATCTCATCCTCTGTTGTCCCCTTCTCCTCCCGCCTTCAATCTTTCCCAGCATTAGGGTCTTTTCCAGAGAGTCAGTTCTTTGCATCAGGTGGCCAAAGTATTAGAGTTGCAGATTCAGGATCAGTCCTTCCAATGAATATTCAGGACTGATCTCCTTTAGGATGGACTGGTTGGATATCCTTGCAGGCCAAGGGACTCTCAAGAGTCTTCTCCAATACCACAGTTCAAAGCATCAGTTCTTCAGCGCTCAGCTTTCTTTATAGTCCAACTCTCACATCCATACGTGACTCCTGGAAAAACCATAGCTTTGACTAAATGGACCTTTGTTGGCAAAATAATGTCTCTGCTTTTTAATATACTGTCTAGGTTTGTCATAGCTTTTCTTCCAGGGAGCAAGCGTCTTTTAATTTCAGTTCTAGACTGAAATTCTAGAAGTTCTAGAAGGGCAGTTCTAGAAGGTACTTTTTAGTCAAAATGATTCTTAAAGATTATATTTATTCAAGAGAGTAATTGCTTTGTACCTGTTGTCTCCTACTTTAATTATTTGCTGCTGTTGAGCTTTTGTTTCTAAAAAGAATGAAGTCGCCCAAGGGAGGAACACAATCATGTCTAAGTCTTCCTATCCCTATAGACTTCTGTGCGTCTTTAACTTTTCATTTGTTCTCTCCTTTCTATTAGGATGGCCCAAGGTATGACTTAAGGAAGACCAAATCTTCCAATCACTCTGCTTTCTTTTTCTACAGTTTATCTGTAGTCCAGTCATACTTCGTTTACTGGGTGAAGATTGAATCATCTGTTGTGTCTCAACAGACACACAGTAGAGCCCATTCTGACAGCCACGTGGAGCCTGGTTCGCCGATGCCAGTCTCTCGGCAGAGGCTGGAGGACGTGGAAGGAACCATCCCAGGTACCGCTTCCCGCCGCACTCACCAGCCTAATGGGCAGCGTTCTTTTCACTGTGACTTACATTCACTTAAAAGTGACTCCTGCCAGTTTCCAGTTCCTGGGGCATAAGCTATAGCCAGCTGTCTTGGGAGTGTTAACAGTTCCTGGGGACGTGATTGATCGCACAGCTGTGGGTGGAGGTTGTGCGGATTGCTTGCAAGTTCAGGGTTCTCTGCAATGAACACACTTTGTCCCACTCAACCTCACAGATAAAGCTGGGCCCTGGAGTGCTGCACCTGAGCTGCAAAATAAAAAAAATAGCCACTCGCCCCAACCCCCCGACCTAATCAATTTCCACAGTATTTCACCCATTTTTCCTGGGCCCCTGAGACTAAATGGGGAGCACCAGAAATAATCCTTTCTTTTCCTTTTTTAAATAAAAGCTCATCCAATTTTGATCATTACTTTCTGAGGTAGGTAGATGCAGCTTGGGTTGAAGGACAGAATCAGGCTGTAGTAATGGCAATGAATTTTTTCCCAGGCTCATCACGTGACTTTAGATTCAATTGGCCCATGAACTTCTGAAAAAACAAATACAAATAGGCAATGAAAAAAAAAAAAAAACCTAAGCAGCTAAAGAATGTCTGACCTACCTGAAAATTCCTGATGAAATGGAACTTATTTTCATTATTTATTTCTAATTAAGTGCTCTGAACAGGTGCCTTCATAAAGGCATCCAATCATTTGTACAGAAGATCCAACTTTTAAACCATTTGATCCCATCTTCCTATATTCTTTCTTTTATTCTGGGCTAACATAATAAGGCCAGCACATGATTTGAGTCCCTGACTTTGCTAGTCCAGCAGATCCAGGATCAGAGCTAACCCAGGGCCACCCACTGCCTATGACCAAAACGTCTGTCTTCTCCCCACTGCCCTGCACAGCTCCTCCGACCTCTCACCTAGATGCTCCCAAAAGCAGAGAAAAGCTCTCAGGGTCTGAGAGCGTGGCCTTAAGAAGACCCTGCAAACCCAACGTGGGTTTGAAGTCTCCTGTATCATGTTATCAATCATGCAAACGTTGCATTTGGATCCCAAGCATGGGTGGGGATCCCTACTGGCTCAGATGGTCAAGAATCTGCCTGCAATGCAGGAGACCTGGGTTCAATCCCTGGGTCAGGAAGATCCCCCGGAGAAGGGAATGGCAACCCACTCCAGGATTCTTGCCTGGAGAATGCCATGGAGAGAGGAGCTTGGTGGGTTACAGTTCATGGGGTCGCAGAGAGTCAGACATGACTGAGTGACTAACATGTTTGTTTGAAGATGAACAGGAGTGAAAGTGAGGCTTCTGGAGGACGGGTCCTGTTGATTCTAAAAAGTCTTTCTGATGGGTGACCCTGCTGGGCTGTCCCCCGGGGCTGGCAGTCTAAGCAGCTGCAGGGTCAACGTGTCATCAAGTTGCTCACACTCCTTCCCTCTGCTTCTGCCTGTTATCCAACCCATTCCTCTACACAAACCCCAATGTTTCCCAAAGGAAAAATGTGTGTGTGTGTGTGTATGTGTACATGCACATGCATTGGGAGAGGTATCATCTAACAAAGTGGAGTGAATTGCTTTAACTATAAGACTTTAGCAGGTAAATGGGAATGATGAGTTTTCCCATGGGAAGATAGCATATTGTATTTCTCAAACTTATTTTCCAACAGAGCTTTGGGACTCTTTAGGGTCCTACCTGACCCCACTGGGCATGACCTACTTTTATGCCTCTATGTTTGCCTCCTGACATTTCTTTAAACAGAACTGCTTCTCGTGATGAACTGTTTACCTTCCAAGCGGCAGTTCCGTGTCTCCTTTGACCCTCTATGAACCTTTCCCCCTTGCTTCTTGGTAGGCAAATGTATTGCTTTCTTTAGCTCTTGTATTAAAGCTCTGACCAAGCTGTGATTCATAAGGTTGGGCAGGCAGGAGTCTGTCCTCCTAGGTTTTGAGTTCAGAAGCAACAGTTAGCAACCTGCATCACTTCTGCATCCCCAGCACCCACAACAAGGCCCAGCACGCAGTGGGTCTGCAGGAAGCATCTGAGTGCATTCAGAGTTCAGGCAGGAGTTGAAAGTGTCATGATTTTTGCTAAATTCTGTGTGTCTGTGTACGTTTTCTTTATTGTTCACTTCAGTCTTCCTATTTTTGAGTAATAAAGGCATGAGAACAAAGTGTCACAATTTTTTTTTGTTATCATTGTTCAGTTCAAACCAGTTAGAGCCCTGGCCAGAGAAACTTCTCCCAGCACTCTTTTTGTGAACAGCATCATGGTCGCCCTGCTGACCATCGGGGTGAACGCGTAGTGCACTTTGCATCTGAACCAGGCCCTGGGCTTCACGCATGTACAGCAATGATTTCACTTCCCCCTCTCAGCAGTTCTACGCCCCACGTACCATTATTGGTCTCATTTTGCAAAAGAAGAAACTGACACTCTGGAGGACTTAGCCCTGTTCAGGAATTGGCAGAGTAAAGAGCTGAACCCAGACAGGGACTCCAAAACCTGTGCCTGGTCGTTTGCGGCCCCGTTTCTGATGCTCTGGGCCGTCGTGTCCGCTCATCACAGATGGGAGAGGAGACAGCGGAGGGCAGTGATCCCGCCTCTGCCCGTAGCCAGGACTTGAGTCCCTATCATCACGGGGGAAACTTTTAGCCTTAATCCCACGGCAAGAAAGACCTAGAGCTTTAAAAAGAAATCTGGTTTTTGTAGGATCCCACCTTTTTTCTTAGCAAGAAGCAGTTTGGGGCAGAAGTAAGAAAACAGAGTGGTCACAGTGGTTTCTCTTTCCTCTGATTGCTGACTGTTAAGGATGCACAAGCCCAGGGGCTTCCCTGGGGGTCCAGGGGCTGAGACTTCAGGCTCCCAATACTGGGGGTCTGGGTTTGATCCCTGGTCAGAGAACTGGGTCCCACATGCTGCAACTAAGACCTGAAAAAGTCAAATAAATAATTTTTTTTTTTTAAAAGGATGCACAAGCCCAGAAGGGCTAGGAGCTTACTCTTAAAAAACAAACAAACAAACAAACAAGAAAAGCTGGGTGCTTAGTCAGGGGTTTCTATTACTGAGCAGATGATCCATCTGTGAGTGCTAAGTCACTTCAGTTGTGTCCAACTCTTTGTTACCCTGGACTGTAGCCCTCCAGGCTCCTTTGTCCATGAGATTCTCCAGGCAAGAATACTGGAGTGGGTTGCCATGTCTTTCTCCAGGGGACCTTCCTGACCCAGGGATCGATCCCCCATCTCTTACATCTCCTGCATTGGCAGGCGGGTTCTTTACCACTAATGCCACCTGGGAAGCTCCAGACGATCCTTAATTGATGCTCTTGAGTGGTTCACACTTGATGGTCTGTCCTCAGGCACCTTGAAGACTCTGGCATTCAGCCCATGGTCCTAGCTGTGTGCTAATTGACACAAGGATGGTTTCTCCCTCTTTCTTCACAGTGCCTCTGGGCCTCCACCTGGCTCCCAGTCTCCCCATCACTCTTCTTCAGCAGCGCACAGATGTCTCTGCTGTGGCCGTAACTGGAGCTGCAGAAGAGGACAGCTTGGATCCTGTTCCTACCAGTGTTTGGGTGACAGGGCTCCTCGGGGCCGCAGAGACTCCTCAAGCATCTTCACACACAGCTGCTGTAGTCAGCGGTGGCCATCACCCCAGCAGGGATGGCAGCCCAACCCTGGAACCATCCCTGGATGTCCAGAGTCTGGAGAGGCTTGTGGCCCTCGAGGGCTTCTCCGCAGAGAGCTTTGCCTCCAGCTTCAGCACCTGCCACAGGTGATTGATCGGGGGTGGGCCATTCGGGACAGGTGGTGGGGTGAAGCCAAACACAAGGGTGCCAAGGAGATGTAACCTTCCTGCTGTCAGACGGAAAAAGATCTCAACCGTATTTACTCTTAAGTGCATGAGAAGCACTCATTGTTGAAGGGCTGGGTAGGGAGATTGTCTTAGGAAACGGTGCTGTTTTGGCTGAGGTCTCTGAGATGCTGCTATAAATAAAATATAAATGTAGGTTACATATTTAGATACATAAAATTAGAAGAATATACTATATAAATATAAGGTATATAAATCAATAAAAGGATTCAGTGGGTCTTTGCTGCCATCCTCACTCACCTCCCTCTCCATTCCCTCTCCAGCCCCCACCTGCAAACTCCAGTGTTTCCAAGAAATATAATGTTATCAGTATACACAAGAGTGATAGGAAGCATAGCTTTCTGATTATCATACTAAACGAATTAAGTCAGACAGACAGAGGAAGACAAATATCATATGATACTGCCTATATGTGGAATCTAAAAAAAGTGATATAAACAAACTTATTTACAAAACAGAAACAAATTCCCAGACTTAGAAAGTGAATTTATGGTTACCAGGGGTGAGGGGTGAGGAGAGGGACAGACTGGGATTTGGGGACTGACATGTACACACTGCTGTATTTAAAAGGATAACCAACAAGGCCCTATTGTATAGCACAGGGAACTCTATTCAATATTTGTAATAACCTAAATGGGAAGAGAATTTGAAAAGGAATGGATAGCTGTATAACCGGTCCACTCTGATGCACACGTGAAACCAACACAGCACTGTTGACAGACTCTGCACTGGGCTGCGCCTAGCGGCTCAGTCGTGTCCAACTCTTTGGGACCCCGCGGACTGCAGCCTGCCAGGCTCCTGGGGATTCTCCAGGCAAGACTACTGGAGTGGGCTGCCATGCCTTCTTCTGGGGGATCTTCCCAACCCAGAGATAGAACCCAGGTGTCCCACATTGCAGGTGGAGTCTTTACTGTCTGAGCCACCAGGAGCACTGGAGCGGGTAGCCTATCCCTTCTCCAGGGGATCTTCCCGACCCAGGAATTGAACCAGAGTCTCCTGCATTGCAGACAGATTCTTTACCAGCTGAGCAACCAGGGAAGCCTGTTAATGGACTCTACTCCAATACAAAGTAAAAATTAAAATAAACAAATAAGTAAATAAATTTCTAGAGGAAAAAACAAACAAACAAACATGGAAGCAAAATAGGTAGGGAAGAAGAGAGATAAAATAAGACTAGTCATGAATTGATAATTTTTGAACCTGGGTGGTACATATCTGGGAGTTCATTATATTATTCTACATTTTTATTCTGAAGATTTTTATAATAAAAGGTAAGGAAAAAACCCGAATACTTAGTGACTCCTTCTCAGCGTTTTTTCTCTCTCTTTTAGGACTCAGAATGATCCAAGCTTTGATTCACTGGAAACTTGTCTGCCCTCGGATAGGGATGAACAGGTAACAGCCACGTTGTACACAGGCAGAGTGTGATATTTTTGATCCCAGAGTGGGAAGTTCCACACTGGGTGATCATAGCTATTAGACTAGTAACCAAAATCAGTGAGAAGGAGGCCAGGGTGTGATATATACACAGCTTTTTTTTTCTCAATCAATACCAGCCTTTCCATTATCCACAGTGTCTCTGAAGTTATTGGCAATTGCAGAAACTGGTGGTTTTCGTGATATGTTTTCCCACTTAGCTTTGGTTAATAATTCCTCTCTCCTCTTCCCCCACCTTCATAACATTGGCCTCAAAATACCCTGTATGGTCCCAAAGGTTAGATCAATGGGCAGTATAAAATATACATGCTCAATGATTTACTATTCCTTTGAAGTCTTAAAAGGAACACAAAATAAAACATGGTATAATATCCTTACTCAAATTTATTGGAACCTACAGCAAGATTCAATGGTCCCTTTTGCAGGGGTCTTAGCATAAAAAGACACACTCAGAGCTTTCAGCCGTTGGAGATGACAGTCACCATATTGTCCTGGACCCTCTAATAGGACCCTATGTTTATTCTTGTAACTGGCTTCCATGCTGTGTCGGTGGGGTTTCCATTAGTCTCCTTGTCCTCATCAATAACAAGTGCATATTTATCTGCTTGGGTGTTTTCCTCTGAGCTCTTTTAAGAGCAGGCATGAGGCTGGGTTTTCAGCTGCTGCCTGGGGTTCTTTAAGGAACTTGGGATAGTTGCAAAGTTCAATAGCTGCTTGGGGGGAAGACTAGCTCCTTTGATTTTTCTTTTTCCGGTTGCTTTTCTAGGACCAGATGAAGGCCTCTAATAGGACAGTGAGGAGGCCTCCTTTGCACAGTGTCCACCTCTCCCATCCTCGCCTCAGGTCCTCCGGGGCGCTCACTGGACATGGGGCCAGGGCAGCCCCCCCAGCTCCTGCCCTCCACACCTCTGCCACCTCCAGGCCCACCACTGCTGATGGCCAGTCCGAGGCATCAAGACCCTCTGTCAGCTTCCTGCCTCGGTCAAAGCACAAGGAGCGCAGAGTGGAGGAGGACGATGGAGTGGCTGGGGTGGGAGACCCCGGGAAGACCAACCCAAGACCTGAGCTGGGGCAGGAGGGAGCCAGGGCCCCGTGGGGGATCCAGCTCGGGGCTGCGCAGCTGGGCGTCCTGCTCTGCCTCTCCGCCGTGCTGGGCATGGCCGTCGTGGTTGGCCTTCGCTACCTGCACTCCCAGTATTGCCGCAGGCGGACGGAAGTGTCCTTTCGTGAGCCTGCCGGGGATGCGGTTGCCACAGGTGACGGTGGTGAGATGGTGCGCGTCCGGAGAATTGGAGACAACAGTTTCGTTTTGGTTGAAGGGGAATGCAACTGGATTGCTCCCTCTGTGAGTAGCAAGAAAACAGTCCTCTGAGAAAACCGTGGTCCCAGGCCTCTTTGGGCTCCCCTTGCACCCTGCAGAGAGTCTCAGCCAGAACGGAGCTACTGAGAACAGTTGATGAGGACAGGGATTCACTGTGCACCCCCTTCCACCTGTCAGGGGGCGGTTAGCGGAGGAAGCAGAGCAAGACAGTTTCATCAACAGAGGGAATTCTTCCCCAGCTTTGCTGTCTTAACATCTGTAATTTAGTGGCATTTTTTTTTCTTCTCGCAATTAGACGTTCTGTTTGAAGACTTAAACCCAACACAATGAATATTGTATAACCTGCTCATTAACTAGACTCCCGTGGCCACCGAGCTTCCTCCGTTGCCTTAAGGAACCTGCAGAAATAGAACTTCTGTCCCTCCTCAGCGTTGTCAGCCTCATCACCTCTAACTCTTTGAAAAAAGCAGTAACGGTGGAGTTGTGTCTCCTTCAGCCCTCCATTTGCCTCACCAAGCCACGCCCAGAGAAGTCTTGTTTTTCCAAACTGGAGTTCAGAGTTGGCTCTGGTGTCGTCGACTGGGTGAGTGCAAAGGTATTTCGCCTCCTAGGAAACTCAGACATGTGGCAAATCTGCCATGGAAATTGGTCAAAGGCAAGGAAGATTTTAGAAAATTTGATTGCCATGTTTGTGGGGCAATACACATGCAGCATGAAGCCTGAAACCGGAGAGAGGGGTAAGCAAACCTCCTCTTCAGGTGTAAATGGATCTGAGGTCTCCCATCCATTGCACTTGATGGGAGACTAGGTATCCCAACAACTAGCAGACTTCTTGCCTTTGCCAAAGGTCAGGCTGAAAAATAAATGATAATAGCAGCACAGTTTTAAAAGCCTTTATCTGTCTAAGAAAGCATGATGGACGGAGACCATTGTGACTTTATGAAGATCACTTTGATTTAGCGAGAGTTCCATAGATACCAAATGGGATCAAAACAACAGGTTCGAATATAACTCATGAATATGGTCACCTAATATACCACATGAGAATTAGCTGCCTTTTCAGAGGTAAACCTACTACAGCGTCAAGGTCCATTTTAATGTGGAAACAAAATCACTATAAATTTGGAAATGATATTTCCTGATTGAGTAGCTAAATTGTATAGGTTGTGCCAAGAACTGTACATATATTTTCATATTTACCTCCTTCAATAACTTCATGAGGAAGAAGTTCAATAATTTGCTAAAAAGAAAGACATTCGTGACATTGCAACTCAATAACGAAAACATTTTAAAAAAATCAGGTGTGTAGGAAAGGGCTGCTTCCGTGTTTCCAGCCCATAGCTCACTGGGCATCAGCTCCAAGACTCTCTCCTCGCAGATTCTGGTGTAGACACATCTGTCCCTTGGCTTCAGGCAAGTACCTCAGCGGGCACCCGGAGACCTAGGAGCATGTGGATGTGCTTAGTCGCTCAGTCATGTCTGACCCTTTGCGACCCCATGGACTGTAGCCGGTCAGGCTCCTCTGTCTGTGGGATTCTCCAGGCCAGAACAGTAGGGTGGGTAGCCATTCCCTTCTCCAGAAGATCTTCCCAACCCAGAAACTGAACCCTTGTCTCCCGCCTTGCAGGCAGATTCTTTACTGTCGGAGTTACAGGGAAGAGGCCTAGATGATTGTGTTCACAAATGGAGGTATTCCAGAAATGCTGTGGAGAGAGACACCTGTCCTGCACTCCCATGGGGACCACAGAAATCCATCCCACACACCCCACCCTCCCCAGAGATGCCCTCTCCCCAAGATTCAGATGAGACATCTCACTAGCAGGGAGCTCCCACCTGGCCACATCACAGCAGAGCCGGGTGCATCACATACACACTGCCTTCCAGATCTTTCCTGTCCAAGAGGATATCATCCTGTGGAACCAGGCTGTTTTGCTTATCCCTTACTATGAAATGAACTACCCCTTCACTCAGTGCTTTGGAACAAGGCCTACCCCTGATGGTCCGACACTGTGCTGGGGTGGCCTGGGCTCAGCGGGGCAGTTCTTCTGCTCGGCACGTGGTCCGATGGGCTGGAACGTCCCAGGCGACTCACTCGCGGGGCTGGCGGTTTGTGCTGGCTGCCACCTGGGCACTCACTGGGTCCCTTGATGAGTGTGGGAAGGAATCTGCTTCTCTGTTTTGTGGCTTCTGACTGCCTGGTGGCTGGGTTCCCAGAGGCAGTGTCCCAGGCTGACAAAACCAGAAGCTGGGCAGCTTGGAAGGCTTGGCCTGGGAAGGAACATGATTGTACCCTTGCCATCTTCTGATGGTCACAGCAGGTTGCAGCGATTCACAGCCTCCATTCTTCCAAGGGTAGGGCAATAGATTTTCCCTTTTCAAAGGGAGAAGTGAAAAAGGAGTTGAAGGTGTGTTTAATTCACTGCATCGCCAGTTAGACTGCTGACCTGCCACAGGGGCTGGCGTAAGAGGACAGTTTGCTCATCTCCAGGAGATGCCGTGGGTCACCCTCCCTTCAAAGCCTCAGAGGGGCCAAGGGAAGTCTCCAGGTTTTAGGATTTGTTTTTTGGCTGTGCCTTGAAGTTTGCAGGATCTTAGTTTCTTGAGCAAGGACTGAACCCAGGCCCACGGCAGTGAAAGTGCAGAATCCTAACCATTGGATTGCCAGGAATTCCCCAGGCTCTAGGGTTTAGGCGCCTCTTCTTCCCTGGCTGGGAACCGCACGTCAGGCACACTAGTGAATGTGCGCAAGAGTCAGCCAGACCTCTGAGCCTCTGTTTCCTCCTCAGAGATCAATGGATCACAGAATGATTTACCTCTTCTGGCTGTTGTGACGATTAAACACATGTTAAGTACTTAGCAGTCTCTGACTAATCAACTTGCTATTGTTATTAAGGTCATTCTGCAGCTGCAGCACTATCTTTAAACCATCCATTTAAAGAAATCCTGTGGCCACCCGAACCATGATTCCGGTCCACGACGACTTCTCCCACTGTGGCCCACTGCCCCAGCCCAGCCGATGGTGGGATCACTGCTTTGGTTGTCATGGCAGCCACTGGCCACAGTTCCTGCTGGGGGTCAGACATTATTGCTGAGACATTCCAAGTAAACTCTTTTTTTGGCAAAGGTGGCTGGAGTCTCCAGGCCTGAAGTCAGGACACATAAAAAACCTGTGTCATAGTGATATTGAAGGTCCTCTAAGCCTGACTTCAGAGAAACCCTAGAGAGGAGCGAGCAGGAAGTGTGGACTTAACCTGAGGCCACTAACTAGAACACAAAGCCCTGAAAGGTTCGGCAGAGGACTCCAATGCAGCATCTTAAAAACAGCCTTTTTTGTTTTGTGGGAACAGCTACAGAATTGTTCAACCAACCACTTCTTGGAGGAGAAGGAGTTTTGGGGCTAAACACACATTTCAGGGATAATAACAGAAATACAATTGCTGAAAACTCTATTTTAAACAAATGGTTTTACATCTATTGTGCTAATTTCATAATCACAGATCAGGAGTAGGGGTGGATCTTAACCTTTTTACATCCACAGACTATTTCTGATATCTCTAATTAATTTCTCCCCTTGGATACAATGATTTTGGAAAATCACAACTTAACGCTTAACCACAGCCTGGCTGAGCTTGCTCACTGTCAAGGCTGTCTGGATTAATTTGCTGTTACAAGGTTTGTTTTCTTTTTTAGAAAAATTCTAATTAACAACAACAAAAAAAATGGGTCAACAAGCCAGTAAATATTTAAACAGGTGTCACGTTTTATTTGAAAAGTTGTCTGAAAAGAGCTGGCAATTTATGAATAAATTATAGATAGCATACCCTCTCCCAGTCTTGGACTTCCGGTATTAAAAAGAGATCCCAGTCTTTCTGGAATGCAGGCTCTGCGATTTGACTTCACACCACTCCAAACTATCCCCCTCTTTTAACAATGGTGTGTGACAAGGAATTTTTCCTATTCAAGTGAAGTGAACTTGCATCCATTTGCTTTATTAAGCTTGAGGATTTCTCCCTGCTTTCAGGGAGCTATTCAGAACTCAGCTCCATCTGGCCTTTAGGGGTTTGCAAAACCAGCCATAACCATCTCTGACTTAGAATGTCAGGAAGGCCTTGATGATGAAAAAAAGTAGGCCGATGTTTTTTGAGTTTGTTCTGTTCTGTTCATGGGGGCCACACCATGGGGCATGCGGGATCTTAGTCCCCCCACCAGGGATGGAACCTGCGCTCCCTGCATTGGAAGTGCGGAGTCTTTAACTAGTGGACCACCAGGGAAGACCCTTTGTTCCCTTCTTTAAATGCAAAAAGAAAACGTGAACATTTTGAGACTCTGCTCCTCCGAGCAGATGGGTGGAGTGGCCAAGACAACTGAAATCTGGCAAATGCTTTTTGGCTTCTGCATCTCACTTTTAAAACATAAATCCTTTGTTTGCTGCACTCTCCCTGCCTTCCCTAATGGCTGTCCATCTTACTCAGAATAAAACCTCTACATCCGAATTGGGTTGACCGGGTATTGTGAGACCTGGTCCTTGGACCACCTTCTTGCACATTCCAGAGTTTTCCAGGATGGTCCAGGGACACAGCACAGCTCCATTCAGCTCCCTTGGCCTGGCGTCCCTTGTTGTCAGGAACCCCGTTCCTTCCAGACACCCACGGCCTTCAGAGTCGTGCTCCCGTGTGGTCTCGTGACCACTGTCCCCCTTCCCACTCTCTGTGCCCCTCCCTGCTTTCTAAAATCGACATCACTTCTTACCTCCCAAGTCTGTGCCTTTATTCATTTGTGTGTTTGCTGACTCTCCTCAACGAGGATGCTTTATAAAGGCAGAGAAAACTGCTCTGTTCCTTGTTATTTCCCCAGCACCTAGAAATGGTCTCAGTCTGTAGAAAGTCGTCAATAAATAATGAGGGCGTGAAAAGCTCAATGTCTGTATGACTGTCACCACTGCCTGGCCTAGACTGAACTTGAGTGTGCTGCACCTCAGGCTCCTGCAGGTGCCTGAATGTCAGGCGATTGGGATTTCTCTCCAAAGGTGAACTAGGAGTGCTGGTGCAACTAGCCCCGGTGAGGACCTTCTGTGTCTCAGATCCACAGCTCGTGCAGTTCTTGGTCGGGAAAAGTTGAGAATGGACTTGACTTCTCCATCTGGGCTGAGCGGAAGGAAAGCGGAACAGTCTTCCAGAATCATTTAGTCTCTGGTCTGGCCCTGGGCTTCTCATCCTTCATGCCATCAACACTGGGGGTTGGATCACTCTTTGCTGTGGGGGACTGTCCCATGCATTGTCGGGTATTTAGCAGCCTCCTTGGTCTCTTACAGGGCTTTCCTGGGGGCTCAGCTGATAAAGAATCTGCTTGCAATGCAGGAGACCCCAGTTTGGCTCCTGGGTTGGGAAGATCCCTTGGAGAAGGGGACAGCTACCCACTCCAGTATTCTGGCATGGAGAATTCCATGGACTGTGTCCGTGGGGTTGCAAGGAGTTGGTCACGACTGAGCGACTTTCCCTTTCACGTTTTGGTCTCGTTCTCTCTAGATGACAGTGGCACCCCTAGTGTGACAACCAGAAACTTTCCCAGCTGTTGCCGGACGTCCCTGGGGGGGCGGAGTCGGGGTGGGGGGGTAGAGTCACCCCCAGCTGAGAACCACTGGCCTAGCAACTAAGAGATGCAAGGACAGGCCCTAAGATGAAGCAGCCGCTCCTAAACCATTCCCACGTTCAGTGACAGCATGGACAGCATGGGGACAGAGATCTACAAGATGCGAAAATCGGAAATGGCTTTAACGATCATCCGACTCACTGGTTTTAGAGTTCTCACTTTATTAGGTACAGCAATAAAAGCTGAACGCTGTAGCTGAAGTCTGTGTATATTTCCCTTTCCTCCGGCCCTGGCTCCTTCTCCCTCACCCTGGGGCACTGTCTCAGAAACTCCGGGCTCCGAGAAGCATGGACTGAAAGTATTAACAACACCCCCTCCATGTAGATGAGGACAGCCAGGCCTCTGAGCCATCAGAGACAAGGGAGGGTTTAGGTGGTCCTTCGACTCCTGCCTTCCATCCCAATTTCCAACATACTTTTCTTTCCACCACACTTGGCAGATCATTTATCTTCTTGGAGTATGTTGGGTGCTGTAAATATTTCAATAGATCCAGAGAGAGCCTGGAATCAAACAGAAAAATGGCCTAGAAATATTAATCTACAGCTGCTGTTAGAACCAAAAGGATGGCGGGACTTTGGAGACTGGCCTCCGTGATGGGCCAGGCCAAGGCATGAGCTGTGACAGGGCCCGGCAGTGGGCTGAGGGGAGGAGACGTGCTGGAGGAGAAAGCACCAATAGACCTGGCCGGGGGGCGTGCTGGCTGTCCCCGCCCACTACCCACCCAGGAGCCACCCATGTAAGACGTAGCTTAATTTACAACCACCATCTTGAACTCCCTCCCTCCCTTCCTCTGGGTTCTGCATTTTCCGCCCTTCAAATAGCACCTGGGGAAAATCTTCCCCCATCAGCCAGAGAGAGACAATTTCTGCCAAGTGTTCTGTTAGTTACTTCGTGGAGGAAAGCAGCTGCCTGGAAATGCATTCCACTAGATATTAAAGAATGTATTTTCCTGATTTATAGTCAGGCTAGGCAGGGTTGTCTGAGAGGCAAGGAACCAATGGGGATATCCACTTGGACTAATGATTAATTATTATATATAAAGTGATGTGTTCTTATCAACCAACAGGCTAGAAAAAGAGACTACAGCTTGCCAGGTTAGCATCACGGGTCACAGATGTTGCCTCTGCATTTTCAGATTGTCTTATCCATTACAGACGGCATCTTCTCATTTAGAAACATAATTTGTTGTTATCGCAGATTAAAAAAAAAAAAGCTGACATTTCACTTGCAAGCCAAAGATTAGCATCAAGGCACAGGACCGCATGTGAGAGTCCATTAAGATGGGGCTGCGCCGTCCCTGATTCAAGGACGCCAGGCTTGAGCTGACAGAGCTGTAGATGGCGGCTGACTTCTGATCTTTATTATGCAAATGTGCAGCCCCGAGAGCCGGGCTGTTTAACCTCATCAGGGGAAATGTCACTGATCATTTCGGGTTCCAAATGTAGCACAAGCATTAGTACTATTATGTTATGATTATTATTATTTGTAGGGCATGATGTAAGCCTGAGCCCTCTGATTAATCTGAGTTTCTACTTACTCAGACCCTCTGGGGTCGAAAACCAAAGTCTTCTTGATATTAAACAAATAAACAAATGTATTTTGTTCTCTCTCTTTAATGCTAGCCGAGGGGGTGCTTCCCAGGGCTGGTGTCCTCCAGGCATGGGGAAGATGGTGAGAGTTTCACAGGGTCTAATTTCCACCCCCAGCTGCCGCCTCTTCTCCGGTCTCCTCCAGGACTTCTGCCTCGGTGACAGAAGTGTTTAGAGAAGCTGGGGCAGGAGAAGGGGGCAGATGTAGGGGTGGAAAGTGGTGAGGAGGATGGAAAAGAGAGAGGGGTATTTACTGCATGAGATTGGAGAAGAAAGGGCCTAAGGAGAGGACAAGATCCTTCAGCCCGGGCATGAGTCCCTGCTATCTAACCGAGCCGTAAAGCAAACGAGAAGGCTCCCGGATCTGAGAGGTGGAGACGAAAAGAGCTTGGAATCACGCAACAAAGAAAAGGAAGTCAGCGAGAGGGGAAAAGTCAGAGGCAGTTGATTTGCTGCCCAGGGTGGGAGAAGGCGAAGGCTGTGCCTCTCTGAATCCAGATTTCGGGACCTGAACCAGCAAGGTCCTACTTTCAGAAGAAAAGACTCTTGATGCGGGAAACTAGGAAAGAGAAGCACAACACACAGCTGTAGTGAAATTCTGGAGCAGAAAATACAGCCCGAGTGTGTTCCCAGCCTGGTGCTAGGGGAAAGGTCCAGCTTTAACAAGACACCCAGGAGGGAGGCTGGTTCACTGCACACTGGAGGCACTAGACGTTTCTCTGAAGACCCCGAGAGACTCTCCCACCTGGCCCCAAATCCTTCAGGTATAAACGCTGACATCACGATCTCAGTCCAATTAAATCAGACTTCTTAGGAGTGGGGTCCACGCCCATATTGTTTAAAGCACCCTGGGTGACTCCACTGGGCCGCCAGGGCTGGGAACTGCTGCTTTAGATTCTGATGGACATAAACTCCACAAACTCTTGTGTGTTTATTTTCTGCTGTATCCTCTGGCATCTAGCACAGCGCCTGGCAGAGTAGAAGTTGGATATAGATTTACTACAAAAAAGGCTAGTGGGTAAAACGAGGCATTTCTGTACTAGAAACAAGTACGGGTTTCGCTGGTAGCTCCATAGTCTAGAGAATCCACCTGCAATGAGGGAGGTGCGAGTTCGATCCCTGGGTTGGCAAGATCCCCTGGAGAAGGGCCCACTCCAGTGTTCTTGCCTGAGAAATTCCAGGGATAGAGGAGTCTGGCGGGCTACAGTCCATGGAGTCCCAAGAGTCAGACATGACTGAGCAATTAAATAACAACAGCTGTAGATAAGTAAGTCATTGAGGGCACCTGTGCAGAGGTGGTACCTCCCAGCCCTCCAAGAGCCCTGCTGTCGGGGGTACGTTTGTCCCTTGTCCCAGCGCAAGCAGACACACAGATGTTGCACCCTAGATGTGGGGTGTTTAGTTGCCATGTGATCAACAACCCTGCCACCCAAGGAGCTGGTCCAGCTGTCTTCCTCTGTCCTCCTGGGAGTGCTGGTGTGACCACATGGCTTTCAGAGAAGGGGCTCAAACCGTCACCCCACCATCGGCTTGCAGCCCGCTATGGGCCGTTATCTTTCCCCACCAGCAACTGAGGAAGATCAAGGATCACTTCCGGTGGCCTTTTCTTCCTTACTGTTCCTGCTCAGGGTCTGGTCCTGAAGAGTTTGACAGAAGTGTTGGGTGACCTTTTCCCGGAGTCAGGAGACCTGTCCCTTTGGCTGCTGGATGAGAAGATCCTCACAAAGGGAAGCGAAGGAGGAGCCCTGCGTGTGGGACTTGGATCTGAGTTAGTTTGGTGGAGGAGCATCTCATCAGCATGTCTGCGGGCCGGAGGCCAAGGGACTCTGACGTCAGCTGCCAGACTTGTGGACCACTGACAAGAGCTGCAGAAGCGACACGTTGCAGCAGTGTGTGGTCCTTCCGCGAATTCCCGCGAGTCCTTCAGCAGATGCTGCGAGAGTGGCGTTACTGTGAGCCCACTTCAGATGGTGCGTGATCCTGTGAAACGTCTGGGCTGGGGGAGAGTTTAGGACTGCATTGTTTATCTCCCCGTTTCCACCAAGAAACAGGGCATAGGAAAGGAAAGACAATGTTGGGGAGCAAGATGGGCCTCCATTTCAAACCGACGTTGCTACTGATGAACCCTAAAACTTCTGGCAAGTCTTTCAACTCAGTTTTCATATCTATAAAATGAGGACGATGCAATTTACTGGACAGATTTATTGTGAGCAACAGATCTTAAGGCTATTGTGAAATCCTCTATTTTTTGAATCCTATGCAATTATTATTCCAACATTGGGCTCTGAGCTCTTTGAAGGTTCAGGCAGCATTATTTTTTTTTCCTTACCAGACTGAGCAGGTTTAATAGTGGACCCCAAAGTTATGTCCGAGTTGTAACCTCCAGAACCTGCAAAGGTGACGATGTGGAAAAATGATCTTTGCACATGTAATTGTGGATTGTGAGATGAGATCACCCTGGATTTAGGGTGGGCTCTGCTTGTTTGTGCCCACTCAGTCGTGTCCAACTCTTTGTGACCCCATGGACTGTAGCCAGCCAGGCTCCTCTGTCCAACGGATTTCCCAGGCAAGAATACTGGAATGGGCTGCCATTTCCTACTCTGAGCATTGTCTTTTTATCTTTGTATCATTAACCTCTAACACAGTAAACAACTGGCACATAATAGATGCTTAAATGTAACCTTCTCAGAGGAGTCTGCCCAAACGCCTCCTCTCAGGACCCCCCAAGTTATTCCTTATACTCTCCTGGTTTCCTTCAGAGCCTCAAAATGACATATCTGCTTGTGTACCATCTATCTCCAAATTAGACTGCAGTTTCCACGAGATAAGTCCTGGCTAGAATCTAGAACAGTGCCTGGTGCAAAGTGGGTGCTCAAATACCATTGTCTAGTGGGGAAAGGGGGCTTCCCTTGTGGCTTAGATGGTAAAGAATCGACCTGAAACGAAGGGAGCCCTGGGTTCGATCCTTGGGTTGGGAAGATGCCCTGGAGAAGGGAATGGTAACCCACTCCAGTATTCTCTCCTGGAGAATCGCACGGACAGAGCAGCCTTGTGGGTTACCGTCCATGGGGTCGCAGAGCCAGACACGACCGAGCAAGTAACACACACACACACAGTGGAAAAAGGAAGGAACGGCGGCTATTTTATTACTATGCGTGATAGGAGTGGTTGCAAGGTGAACTGGAATCCATCCAAACTGAGAAAGGTTATTTGGCTCCGACCAGAAAGGGAGCGGGAGGTCAGAAGCAGGTTGAGTTTCCTCCCCCTCCTCACAGAACTCTGCGCGAGACCTTCTTTAGGGCCGGCGATTCCTAGGGCCTCCGCCAGGGGGCCCGTCCCGCTAAGCTGAGCAGCGTGAGTGGTTTCCTGACTTGGACAGAAGGCTGCCGGGGCCTCTGGGGGAGCCGGCGGGGGC